GGAGGGTCTCTGTAGGAGACAGCTGCTGTCTTTGCCTCAAGAAGTTTAGTCTATTAATAGTCATTTGTATTTAAGATCACTTATTAAAACCTTAATAACAATAACAATCTATCACTTTAGGATTCTGAAGTGCTTATCTTGTTTGCTTATCACAACATCACCCGTGACATAGGTAATACAGAGATTCTCATCCCCATTTTACAGGTGAGGAAACTGAAGGTCAGAGAGGTTATGCCCAGGGTCACTCAGATAATTCAAGTCAGAGATCTGAAAGGCAGGAATTCAAGTGGGAATCTCTTCTAAGTGTCGTGCTGGATAACCAATTCCATTTCTGTACTGCCTTCATGTTTGCAAAGCACATTCCTCAAGCTACAGGGGGGAAGAGAGGAGCGGTAGGTATTGCACCCGGAACCTTGTCTTAAAGCCCTCGGTGCTAGCAAGGCTGGATATGGAGCCTTTTGCGAAGACTGAGCTATCTACGGAGCTCACTGAGCCCTGCCCCGCCCCGCCCCGCCCCTCCCCAACACCCCTCCCCTCTCCCGTCCTCCCCCACCCAGCGCGCAACTCACCTCCTCCACCTAGCGGCCAGAGTGCGAAAGTGCCAGTCTCTGCCTGTCTCCACGAGTGGGCAGGGTCCTCCCAAACTAGGGAGGGAGACTAGGGCTGGTGCCTTTTAAATGCTATCGTTTCCATCCTTTGCGTTATTAAGTGAGCTAATTGGGGCTGCTGACTAGCGGTTTGATCATCTAAAGTCACGTTGTAAGAATTCGAGCTGAAAGATCATCAGTCAATAAGCATTTACTAACCGCCTGCTGTATGCCAGGCACTGTGCTAAGCACTGAGGGTACAGTCTAGTCTAATCTGATGAGAAAATTGAGGGCCAGAGAGAAGGAACTGGCTTAGGATGATCAGTCTGGAGTAAGTAGGGAACCTAGAAGCTAAGTCAACCCCCTCACTTTAGATGAGACAATTAAGGCACAGAGGAATCAAGTGACTTGAGCAAGGTCACTCAGCTAGTAAATACCAAAGGTGTGAACTAGTAATGCTGCCTCTCATGCTTGCTCAATGTCACAGAAGGAATCAGTGAGACAAAGATATACATGAACAGGGAGAGGAAGGGGGCGGCAAAGAGGCCAAGGGAAAATAGGAGTCCTGTTTGTCAATTGTCAATTTTAAAGAACCCCATGGGCATAAATGAAAGAACCCTAAAATAGAAGTCAGGGGATCCACACCCTCATCCCACCTCAGTCACAAAGAAGGCAACTTTAGCCAAATCACTTCCCCTTTCAGGTCCTCAGCTTCCTCATCTGTAAAATGGGTAGTTTGTACAACATTGGGCCCCTAGGCCCTCAGGGACCTTACTAGCTCTGGGGCCCAGCTGAAGGTAAATTTCTGAAACAAAAGCTACAGGCAGGAATGAAAATTGATGTTGTACCTTCCCCCAAGAGATGTGCAGGGCTAGTCCCCTATTGGCCCTGAGATCTGAGACACCTCCTGAGATGGTAGGAGCCAGTCATGGGAGAAGCCCACCTGGGATGCAAAAGGCTTGCCCTCTGGGAAGAGTGAGACTTTCACTAGGTCTGGCACCCGGTGATTCCCTGCACGGCAGGGAAGGTTCTTAACGCTAGTGCCTTCCCTCTCACGATTACCCTGAATTTATCCATCAGTTAGTTTGCATATTGTCTCCCCCACTGGACTGCAAACTCCTTGAGAGCTTTCTTTGTATCCCCAGCACTTAGCACAGTGCCTGGCACAGGGTAGGTGCTTAATAAATGCTTATTGATCGACTGGATTTGGAGGCAGAGCACCTGAGCTTCAGTTCCGGCTCAGCCTTACCTTCCCAGCCTTGGGCAAATCACTTTCCCTCAGTTTCCCTGTCTGTAATAAGGCAGTTGGATTCGATGGCCTGGAGGGCCCTTCTAGCATTACATATGTGACCCTAGGATTCTTCATTCTCCGTTCCTAAGAGTCCCTGGCTGTCTGCATCCCTCCTTGGAGAGCTCCACTCTCAGTCTCCTTTTCCCCTCTGGCCTCTTCCCTCCTCAAGTTCCTCCCACTTCCAGTTCAGCCTTGAGTCTGAGAAGTGTAGCCAGAGAAATAAGAGGTTGAAAGCTGGAAATGAAGAATGACAGGGGGGTTCAGTGCTTCAGCATGGAGGGGACGGTGATCCAGGATGCCATGGAAGCCTTCAGATGGGCCAAAGCACCTCCTCCTCATCCCACAAACACACAGACATGCTCCAAAGGGCAAGGCTCAGAGCCCTGGCATCTCCCAGGGGAGGGGTAGGAGCTAAAATTAGGCCAGGGCCAGCTATGGGATTATTTTTACCCACTCAGAGCCAGCAGGGCACTTTCCCACCAGGTGTTTGGTTGCAGAGATAGGGGGGTAAAGGGGGGAGGGGACTAAGGCTGTGCTGGTAACCTCTAAGAGGCTCCTTGGTATCAAGCCCCTGAGGCTGGACTTAACTAGGCACCCTGGTCCAGGCAATACTTTCTGAAAATGGAAATTAGTTGCTGGGAGAATGAGAATGTGGACACTCAAACCCAGATCTACACACACCCACAGAAACATTGAGACCAGCACACTCAGACCCTCCCCTCCAAACACACAAGCCACAGAAACACCAAAACATTGACTTCCAAACAGAGACACACAGAAACAGACATGTCCCCATTCAGAATTACAAAAATCTCGAAATCAACGAGACATACTTCCAAACCTAGACATACATGTAAAGACCCACAGAAAAACCCAGACCTCAAAAATACAACCCTCAGAAACACTGAGACAGCCAGTCAGACCCAGAAATATACACTAATACAATGAAATCATCACACAGTGAAATATACAGAATCACAGAGGTCCCATACACCCATAGCCAGACTCAGAAACACACCCTACTCCAGTGAAACCAACACACATTGAAACATACAGAAACACTTAGATACCCACAGTCAGACCAAGAGACACACACTAATCCAGTGAAACCAACACACTGAAACAAACACCTAGACACTTACCAGGGGACTCAGAAACACACTAAGCAACAAACATGGAAACATACAGACCTACAGAAACACCAGGATTACTGTACTTTGATCCAGAAATATACCTTCAACCTCTAGATCTGCTGATATACCAAGACAAACATTTCTAGACACTTTACACTTTCTCATCCATACTCAGAAACCCACACAAACCCAGACACATGAGACCCAAAGGAATACCAAAACATTCTTCTGGGTCTGGACCCAGTCCCTTCCTACCACACAAACAGAAACACCAAGGCCTCCAGTACCATCCTCAGACTTAGAAATACCCACCCAGGTCTAGGAAGGCAAATATACAGATCCAGAGAAACCCTGAGATATAAAACCCAGACTCAGAAACATATCCAAACCAGAGAAATGCCTTGACACTCCCTCTTACCCAGATCCAGAAACATATAGATATTTAAACAAAGATCCAGAAACAAATGGAGATCCATAGAGATACACACACACAAACTGAAATACACCCAGACACAGGAATATTGATCGAACCACCCCATCCCCAACCCTGCCCCTTGCCCCAAACAGAAATGGAAAAAATCCAAATATTAATGAAGACTTTGCTGCCTGCAGGGCTTTAATCATGCTAGAAGTACTACAGATATTTTTCAAAAGGTCTAAAACTTCTCTTACTCCTTGAGGAAGAGAGATGTGACATCTACAGAGATAGTTACAGTACAATAAAGAACCTGACTGAGGGACAGCATGAAGTGCCAGATAGAAGACTGGCCTTTGAGTCAGCAGGACCTGGGTTCAAATCCTGCCTCTGACATTTTAGATCTATGCCCCCAGGCAGCTCTCTAAGACTTTATTAAAGAATTACAAGTTGTAGTTGGTACAGGGATTTCTCTATACCAAGGAAACCTCACCTTCTGCCCTAACTCTACCCCTGCCAAAAAATATAAATTCCTGTGTACACACCAACCCAGACCTTTGCTTATAATCACACAGACACACAGACACAGACACACACACACAGAGACACACACACACAGAGCCCAAACTCACAGATGTGTACTCAGATGCACACACCCACCAAGCAGAACCCTTTGGGGTTCCAGATGGCTTCTTTGAGGTCTGAGTGCTATTGGCCTCGCCTCTAGCACCCTACCACCACCACCCCCTCCATGGAGGCTGGAGCAGCTGCTCCGAGGGAGGGATGGTTGGAAGGAAAGGGAGGGGGAATGTTTTTAAGCTTCTAAGAGTTTTCGTTGAAAGAGACTTTAGATATGATCTAGCATTTTACAAAGGGAGAAACTAAGACCCAGAGAGTTTAGATGATTTGTCTATAGTTGTAGTGGAACTCAAACCCAGGTCATTTGATTCGAAATCTAGCACTTTCTGGAGAAAAGGACCCCCCCCCCCCGACTAAGGTGGGGTGTGAGGTTGGCCCCAGGAGGGAGGGGGGCATAGATTCCGGGAGAAAAGGAGCCCTGGGAATGAGCTGGGCTGTGTGTGCCGGTGACAGCCGGGCCTGCTCTGTGTCTCCCCCTGCCTCCCTCTCCAGTCTGGTCCGTAGGCACCGCAGGGAATGGTGGTGGGGGTGGGGGGTGGTGGGAAGAAGAGATGGCCGGATGTTTGGCCGATCGGAGCTCGGGACCGAGAAAGAAAGATGAGTCCTGGAGAGGGGAGCAGGATCTGGTCTGTGTCATGGGCTGCTTAGGGGGCCGGGAGTCTGGGTCCCAGGGAATGAGCCTCTCCCCCACCCACTCCTTTTTCTCCCCGCCCCCCTTCCCGAGTCTCAGCTCTAGTACTGAGCTGACAGGGATAGGGACCCCGGGGAGGTCGGGTTCCAGCTCTGGCGCCCAGCAGAGTCTGTTGTGGGGAAGGGGAGAGGAGGAAGGGGGAGGGAAAGAATGGGGATAGCCTTGGCCCTGGGGCCCCGCCCCCCTCCCCCCTCCCGCCTAAAGCACTCTAACACTTTATGAGCCCAGCGGAGTTCAAGTCAGGCTGGTTGCAGAAGAGACGCAGACAGAGACTGGGACAGAGTCTGAGATAGAACAGAGAGAGGCGCAGCTGGCGGTGATGAAGCTACAGACAAGACTCAGAAAAAGAGATGTGTTAGTGGGACAAGGTCTGAGACTGAGAGACAGGGAAAGAGAGATGGAGAAAGCGACAAGACAAGAAACTGAGAAGCCGAGAAAGCAAGCTTGGGATAGAGAGAGACAGAGTCAGAGACAGAAGCAGGAGCGGAGAAACTGAGTCACAGTTGAAGAGCAATAGAGAGGAGGAAGAGGAGGAGGGGAGTGTCCGGCATTGACAGAGACTGAGCCGGGTTTGAAGCGGGACCCTGAAAGGCAGAGCGAGCCTAAGAGCAAAGTGGGGCGGGGCGGACCCCCGGCTCCTGGGCCCAAGCCAGGCCCCCAGCTGCGGACCGGGCGGGAAGAAGAGACTTTTGGAAAGTGAGCTTCGAGGTGGGGGGCCGAGGGCGCTGCACTCTGTGTTTCTGTTCTTCCGGCTGCCCCAGCAGACGGCCTGACCCCCGCTCGCAGTCCCGGGACCCCCCCGGAAGCCCCGCCCCGGCGGCGGGCGGAGAAAAAGACCCGACGCGGAGAAAGGGACACAGATACACGGAGTGACACACTGAGAGGGGTGGGGGGTGGGGGGAGAGACAGAGACGGAGAGAGACGTACGCAGCCAGAGACACCCCGAGACAGAGATCTACACTCAGACAGAGAGACCCACAGACACCCAGAAAGAGCCAGAGAGAGCCCAGAGGCAGCAGTCTGGGAACCTTCGAGGGGCCGGCCGGCCATGCTAGGTGGGCAGCGCAGCCCCCCGGGCCCTAGCCCAGGCTCCCCCTCCTCACCAGTCGGGTCTCCCCGAGCTTCCCCGCGCAGCTCCCCCGGGCTCTTCAGGAAACTGCTGGTAAATCAGAGCATCCGACTGCAGCGTCGTTTCACCGTGGCCCACCCTCTCTGGTGAGCGTGGCTCCGCACCTTGGGGACTGCCCCAGGGATGGAGGGAGGGGGTCCCGGGAAGGAGGGATCTTTGGGACCTGCCAAAGAGACAAGTACCTAGACCCACACACTAAGCCTGAGGGAGGGGAAAAGACCAATAGAAGGACACCGGCAGGTGTAGACGTAAGCAGAGAGGCAGAGGCAGAAACAGATGGCAAACTTGAGACCAAGGCCAGGATATACATCCCTGGGACTCCAAAGATAGAGAGGCAGAGATTAAAACTAAGAGTTGGAGAGGAAGGCCTCCAGGCCAGACAGAAAGAAACAGAAATGGAGGCCAGTGGAAAGAGATGGAGACCCAGAAAGAGGCTGAAATGGAGCACCAGAAACAGAGGCTCAAAGAGAAACTAATAGAGAAAAAAAAGTGATGGGGATGGAGAGACAGTAGAAAGCAAGAGGCTGTACTCAGAGACTGGGAGACTGGGATGCAGCTGGTGTCAGAGACAGAGGCAGGGGACACAGACCAAGGGGCAGAGAGAAGAGCAGAAGGCTAGACCAAGACGGGATGGGGGTGGAGGAGCAACTTCTGGCACAGGAGGTGGGGGTGTGGGTAATGTGTCCTTGTCCTCTCTCCTTTGGCTCCGTGGGACACTTGGCCCCACCCCATCCTTGGCTCTGGGACAGCTACTGAGAGCGCCTGGGTCCTGGTGGCACAGGCCCAGGCTAAGTGTTGGGCTAGGCTCTGACCTGAGTATGAGAATGGCAGAGAAATCCTCCTTCAGACAGAGTAGTGGAGGGCCTGGGGGAGGTCCCTGAAGACCCCAGAAATGAGATGTGTTTGGAACAGGGATGGCTGGGCTCCCTCATCATAGGGCCCAAATGTGTCCCTCTGTACCTGATATCACAGCTCTGCTGTGTCAAGACTTACCCCGGAACTCCCAATCTCTCCTCTTCTTTTCCCTTTCTAGGCTGCCTCTCTCTGGGCATCCCCCTTATTAGACCCTATTTCTGGGCCTCATGCCAAAGGGTCAGAAGCTTTGAATTCAGGGTCAGAGCATCGGGGGCAGCTAAGTGGCACAGTGAATAGAGTGCTGGCCCTGGAGTCAGGAGGACTCAAATCCGGCGTCAGACCAAACACTTGACACTTACTAGCTGTGTGACCTTGGACAAGTCACTTAACTCCATTGCCTACCAAAAAAAAAGAAAGAAAAAAAAAGAGTCAGAGCATCTAGGTTCAAAACCCGATTCTGCTCTTCTGTGTGCTTTGGAAAGTCATTGAACATCCCAGGGGCTCCAATCACACCTCTAGAAAATGAGGGGCTTGACCTGGCTCATCTCAGGGCCTTTCCAGCTTTAATCTTAGTATCTCCAACAAGAAATCTGCTCCAGACCAATCAGTCAGTGGGAAACTGCCTATAGCTCCTCCCAAGGGCCAGAGTGTTTGGGGACAGGCACCTGGAGTTTAAAGATGCCCATTGTGGACCCACTTGCTCTCCTCAGTTCCTAGGCCCTATAGGCCTCATTTTAATGCTCCAAATAAGCTGGCCCTAAGTGGGTTTTCCCACCCCAGAACCAGGAGGGGACTGTATCCTTCCCAGGTCTTCATCTGGTAGGAATCCCATAACAGCTCCATTCCTTCTGCCTTAGTCCTATTTCTAATCTCTACACCCCACCCTCCCCTCCCCACCACACACACACACACACACACACCCTACCCATTTGCCTCCTGTTTCTAAGCTGTCAAATCATACTAGGAGAAAAAAAAATGGGCTGGGGCTAGAGTTTCAGTTTGGGGCTGGGGAAGGGAGAGGACAGCAGAAGGAGTGAATGCTGTCTTGGGCTCCATTGAAGAAAGCATGGTGTCCAGAACAAGGAAGGTGTTAGGAAGAACATAAAGTGCAGAGCATGCAGAGCTAGGGAAAGATGCAAAGCCTAGAGAAAAGACTTGGGGTGGGGAGAGGGGAAGGGTGTGTATGTGGGGGAGCACAATCACCATCTTCAAGCATTTGAAGGGCTGTCGTGTGGAAGAACAATTAGTCTCTCTCTGCTTGGCTGCCGAGGGCCGATCTGGGAGCAATGGGGAGGAGGGGTAGTTTCAGGGAGGCAGATTTTGACTCCAAGTAAGGAAGAACTTTACTATTTGAACTAGCCAAAAGTGGCCTGGCCTGCCTTGGGAGATAGTGGGTTCCCCATCATTACAACCCTTCAAAAAAGGCTACTTGCTGGGGACATTGTCCAGTGAATTCTTGGGCAGATAAGAGCCAGACGGTATGGTCTCTGATGGAAGTCCCAGCTCCCATCACTACTGGGAAAGGAATGAAGCTCGGGTACAGAGCAGGGAGGAACTTAAGGTCATCGAATCCAACTTCCTTGTCTTATGAATTTTACAGGGAAATTGAGGCCCAGAGAAGCTACTGGCTTGTGCACAGTTGTAAAGATAGTAGGGGGCAGAGCCCCCAACTTCAGCTGAGGAGGCTGTAGTCATTGTGCTTCAGCATAGTACAAGGGAAAAAATGCTGAATTTAGTCAGAGGCCTTGGGCTCAAAGCCTGCCTCTGCCATCGGCTGCCTGTGTGATCTGGAAGTCACTTTGATTCTCTGAGCTCAGTTTCTTCATCTGTAAAATGGGGCCTTGGATTAGATGTCCTCTGAGCTCCAGTCCATCTCTAAATCTATGATCCTGTGGCTTTGGACTCCTATTATATGGTTCTGTCTCCACCTTGGGTGCTGGCCTCTGATGCCATTGATTCTCAAGGGGTGTCCTGAGAAACTTCGCTAGGACCAAACTTTAAAGAACATGAAAGAGAATCTCAGAGGGAGTCTGCTATATCCTCCCTTCTGATTTTCCTGGCCCTGGGTGGAGGTGGGGACGGAGGAGACGTTGGGAGGAACTGCGTAGATACATAGGCACAGGGAGACTAGCATTTCTGTGCTTCAGTGGTAGAAGCAAGGGGTCAGGGTCAAGCTTCTCTCCCAGGCCCTCTGAGCTCTAAGCCAGGGGTGAGCAGATGTGTGGCTCCTGAGGGGCCAGGCAGGGGGCCAGCCGGCAGAGTCTCAGCTCCCTCCCCGGCCCTGTAGGCACCTGCCTAAACAAGCAGGGAAGGCTCAACTGTTTGGTGGAGCTGAGGCCAGGGAAGTCTGGGCCTGGAAGCTTCAGTCCCCAGACAGCCGAGATTTCCCGTGGTGGCAGGAGTCTGAAGGGCAGGGCTTGGCCTGGCCCAGAAACCCCAGCTTTGGGAGAAAACAAAGAGGATGGAACCCTGTCTGTAGGGTGGCACCCCACCCCCGGATCCGGAATGGGCGGGCAGCCAGGCAGAGGGCCAGAGGCTGGCCGCCAGGCTCTGACTCTGGCTTCAGCTGCCACAGCTCCACACTGGCCCCTTTGTGCCTGGGCTGGAGTCCCAGTGTGATAATATCAGCTGAAGCTCTAGGGCACCCCTAGGCACAGGGTGCTCTTGGCGGGACCGGAACGGGGGAGGGTGCCCAGGTGGGCCTGTGATGGATTGACTGAAAATGTGGCATCTGTGTGTGTGTGTGTGTGTGTGTGTGAGAGAGAGAGAGAGAGAGAGAGAGACAGAGGGTGTGACTGTGTGGGTGTGACTGTGTGTGTACATTTCTGTGGTTGTGTCTGTACATCTCTGTATATGAGTGCCTAAAGGAGTATGCACAGCATAGTTTGTGAAGGTGTATATTCCTGTGAGGGCGGGTGTCAAGTGTCTGAGTGCCTATCTCTGAGATTTTTTTGTGGGGGGAGGTGGAGACAGAGAAACAGAGATAAGAGGATGAGGAAGGGGAAGGAAGGAGAGGGATAAGGAGAGAGAAAGAGAGAAAGAGAATGATTAGAGAGGAGGACAGAGAAACACAGAGAGGGGAGAGAATGAGAGAGACAGAGATAGGGGAGAGAGAGAGAAGGAGAGACAAGAGAGAGAAAAAAGAGAAAGAAACAGGAGGGGAGACAGAGAAGAGAGAGATAGGAGAGACAGAGACAGTGTTAAGTGAGAGTGGTGTGTGCGTGGGAGGAGCCATACAACAGGCTTGCTGGGACAGCACAGCAGGTATTTGCTCTGGTTGGGATTGGTCTAAATGGCTGCGTAGGGCCCTCCATCTCTGAGCTTCTGGGTGTGTAACCATCATTGATCAACAAGCATTTATGCAGCACTTTCTCTCTGCTAGACGTGCTAAGTGGGGGAGATAGAAAGGCAACAAAGTCCAATGTTGAGGCACAGTAGATAGAATGGTGGATGGGTTTATTATTGTCGTTTGTCCTTCGTTCTCGAGGACCATGACATCAGGGAAGAGATATCATGACTTGCATGTGAATTGGATTTAAGTGAGGGAGGGCTGTGCAAAGTCACCAGCCTCACACTCTCCTCTGGAGCCCTCTGGCTCCCGTGGCCAGATATAGATCAGGATGACTGGAGATGGCCAGGACTGGAGTTTAGCTTGAGTTCAAATCCTGCCTCAGATAGCTGTGTGAAGATGGGCAAGTCACTTAATTTCTCCCATCCTCAATGTCTTTATCTTTAATACCTCATAGAGTCGTGGTAGGGACCAAATGCTATATAAATGTAAGTTTCTGCCCCCTGGGAGATGACATTCTATGAGGAAACTAGGGATATGTACAAGTAAATACAAACTCTATGCATAGTAAATGTAAGGTGATTTCAGGGGGAAGGCACTAGCCACTGAATCAGTCAATTAACAAGAATCTGTTAATCACCTACTGCATGCCATGCCTTGTAATAAGTCTCCATCCTCCACCCAGCTGCTAAAGTGATCTTCTGAAAGCACAGGTCTGGCCATGTCACCCTACACACCCCTTCCACACACAATCAACTAGGATCAAATATAGAATCTTCTGTTTGGCTTTTAAAGTCCTTTAACACTTCTCCCCAGGGCAGCTAGGTGGCTTGGTGGATAGAGCACTAGCCCTGGAGTCAGGAGGACCGGAGTACAAACTGACTTGACCCTTACTAGCTATGTGACCCTGGGCAAGTCCCTTAACCACCATTGCCTCCAAAC